AAATGCAAAGAAAAACAAACAAACAAAAAAAAGCAGGGGTTGCAATCCTAGTCTCTGATAAAAGACTTTAAACCAACAAAGATCAAAAGATACCATTACATAATGGTAAAGAAGCCATTACATAATGGTAAAGGGATCAACTCAACAAGAAGAGCTAACTATCCTAAATATACAAGCACCCAATACAGGAGCACCCAGATTCATAAAGCAAGTCCTTAGAGACCTACAAAGACACTTAGACTCCCACATAATAATAATGGGAGACTTTAACACCCTACTGTCGATACTAGACAGACCAACCAGACAGAAGGTTAACAAGGATATCCAGGACATGAACTCACCTCTGCACCAAGCAGACCTAATAGACATCTACAGAACTCTACCCCAAATCAACAGAATATACATACCTCTCAGCACCACATCGCACTTATTCTAAAATTGACCACATAATTGGAAGCACTCCTCAACAAATGTAAAAGAACAGAAATAACAACAAACTGTCTTTCAGACCACAGTGCAATCAAATTAGAACTCAGGATTAAGAAACTCACTCAAAATCGCACAACTACATGGAGATTGAACAACCTGCTCCTGAATTGTCCCTGTTTGCAGATGACATGATTGTATATTTAGAAAACCCCATCGTCTCAGCCCAAATTCCGTTGTTGTTGTGTTGAGAGAGTATACATCTACACCTCTGATCATTTGACAAATCTGACAAAAATAAGAAATGGGGAAAAGAGTCCCTATTTAATAATGGTGCTTGGAACTGGCAGCTGTATGATGAAACCTGAACTGGGTCCCTTCCTCCACACCTTATTACAAAAATTAATTCAAGATGGAATAAAGGACTCAAATGTTAGACCTAAAACCATTAAAAAACCCTAGAGGAAAACCTATAGGAGTACCATTCGAGGACAATAGGCATGGGCAAGACTTCATGACTAAAACACTAAAAGCAATGGCAACCAAAAGGCCAAAATAGGACAAATGGGATCTAATTAAACTAGAAGAGCTTCTGCAGCAGCAACAAGAAACTTACCATCAGGACGTGAACAGGCAACCCTACAGAATGGGAAGAAAATTTTACAATCTACTCATCTGACAAAGGGTAATATCCAGAATCTACAAAGAAAAACAAATTACAAGAAAAAAACTCAAAACAACCTCATCAACAATGGGCAAAGGGATATGAAACAGACACTTTCTCAAAGAAGACACTCATACAAGCCCAACAGACACATGAAAAATGCTTATCATCCTGAGTCATCAGAGGAAACTGC